TTCTGGCTATAGGAATAATGCTGTTATGAACACAGTTGAGTACATGTCCTTGTGATATGATTGTGCATCCTTTGGGTATATGCCTAAAATTGGCATAGCTGGGTCTTGAGGTAGATTGATTCCCAATATTTTAAGAAATTGCCATACCAATTTCCAAAGTGGCTGGCTCTTCAAGTTTGACTCCCTCAGGCAGTGGAGGAGTGTTCCCTTTACTCCGCATTCTTTCCAGCATAAGCTGTCAGCAGTGTTTCTGATTTTAGCCATTCTGACAGATGTAAGATGGCATCTCAGAGTTGTTTTGATTTGCATTTCCCTGATGGCTAAGGATGTTGAGCAGTTCTTTAAAGTGTCTTTCGGTCATTTGTGTTGAAATAGGAGCGGCAGCAGGGCTGTGTCCCCAACACCCCGGCCGCTTGGCTAGCTTATACCCGAAATAACAACACACAAACTGTATTCATTTAAAGAACTGCTTGGCCCATGAACTCTAGCCCTTACAGGCCAATTCTCGCACCTGGACTAGCCCATTTCTAATGATGTGTGTAAGCACCCCAAGGAGCGCTTACCGGGAAGAGTCTAGCCTCCGTCCATCCTGGTGTCTCTGCTCCAGAGAGCTGTCGGGTCTCTCTCGGAGCAGAGCAGAGTCTGACCTCACTTCCTCTTCCGCCCAGCATCCTATTCTGTTTACTCCTCCCACCAATGCTCTAACCTATGAGGCCAAGCAGTGTGTTTATTACTTAACCAATGAAATCAACAGATTGATATATGACACTCCCATATCACATTTGAGATTCTTCTGTTGAAAACTCTCTGCCTAGATCTGTACCGTATTTTTTAATTGGATCATTTGGTATTTTGATGTTTAGCTTCTTGAGTTCTTTATATATTTTGGAGATCAGCCCTTTGTCAGATGGGTTGGTGAAGATCTTCTCCCATTCTGTAGGCTGCCTTTTTGTCTTACTATGTTCTTTGCCTTACAGAAACTTCTTAGTTTCAGGAGGTTTCATTGTTAATAGTTGCTTTCAGTGTCTGTGCTACTGAGATTTTATATAGGAAGTAGTCTCCTGTGCCCATGTGTTCAATACTACTTCCCAATTTCTCTTCTATGAGTTCAGTGTGGTTGGATGTATATTGAAGTCTTTGAACCATTTGCATTTGAGTTTTGTGCATAGTGATAGATATGGGTCTATTTACATTCTTCTACATGTTGATACCCAGTTATGCCATCACCATTTATTGAAGATGGTTTCTTTTTTCCATTGTACAGTTTTAGCTTCTTTGTCAAAAATTAGGTGTTCATAGGTGTATGGATTAATATTCGGGTCTTTGGCTCACTTGTCCGTTTTTGTGCCAATACCAAGTTGTTTTCATTACTGTAGAGCTTGAAGTCAGGGATGGTGATGGCTCTAATAAGATGTAGTTGAATAGATTTGGAGAGAGTGGACAGCCTTGTCTTGTTCCTTATATTAACGGAATCGGCTTGAGTTTCTCCTCATTTAATGTTGTCTGTTGGCTTGCTGTAAATTGCCTTTATTATGTATATGTTCCTTGTATCCCTGATCTCTCCAAAACCTTTATCATGAAGGGGTGATGGGTTTAATCAAAGGCTTTTTGAGCATCTTGAGATGATCATGTGGTTTTTTTCTTTGTTTATATGGTGGATTACATTGACAGATTTTCATATGTTGAACCAACCCTGCATCTCTGGGATGAAACCTTCTTGGTCATGTTGTGTGATTTTTCTTTTTAAATGTGTTCTTGGATTTGGTTTGCCAGTATTTTATTGAGTATTTTTGCATTAATGTTCATGAGGGAGATTGGTCTGTAATTCTCTTTTTTGTTGCATCTTTGTGTGGTTTCAGTATTAGGGTAACTGTAGCCTTATAAAAAAATTTTGTTTCTTTTGTTTCTATTACATGGAACAATTAATTTGAGGTGTATTGGTATTAGCTCTTTGTTTCCACTGAAACCTACTGGCCCTGGGCTTTTTTTGATTGGGAAACTTAATGACTACTTCTGTTTTCTTAGGGGTAATAGGTCTATTTAAATTGTTTATCTGGTCTTGATTTAATTTTGGTATTAGGTACTTATCCAGAAAATTGTCCATTTCTTTTAGATTTTCCAATTTTTGTGGCATATAGGTTTTTGAAGTATGACCTAATGAGTCCCTGAATTTCTTTAGTGTCTGTTGTTATGTCCCCCTTTTCATTTCTGATTTTGTTAATTTGGATGTTCTCTCTGCCTTTTGGTTAGTTTGGATAAGGATTTGTCAGTCTTGTTTTTTTCTCTAAGAACCAACTCTTTGCTTTATTGATTCTCTGTATTCTTTTTGTTTCTATTTTAATTTCAGCCCTGTGTTTGATTATTTCCTGTCATCTTCTCCTCGGGTGAGTTTGCTTCTTTCTGTTTGAGAGCTTTCAGGTGTGCTGTTAAGTCACGGTGAAATTTCCATGCTCTTTAAGTGGGCACTTAGTGCATGAACTTGCCTCTTGACACTGCTTTCATAGTGTTTCATAAGTTTGGGTATGTTGTGCTTTTATTTTCATTAAAATCTAGGAAGTCTTTAATTTCTTTCTTTATCTCTTCTTTGATCCAGTGGTAATTCAGATGAGAATTGTTCAGTTTCCATGGGTTTGTAGGCTTTCTGTAGTTTGTGTTGTTGTTGAATTCTAACTTTAACCCATGCTGATTCAATAATATACAGGGCTTTATTTCAGTTCTTTTTGTATCTTTTGAGATTTGCTTTGTGACCGAGTATGTGGTCAGTTTTAGAGAAGGTTCCATGAGGTACTGAGAAAGTACAGTTTTTTTTGTGTTTGGGTGAAATGTCCTATAGATGTCTGTTAGGTCTAATTGAGTCATAACCTCTGTTAGTTCCCTTATTTCTAGGTTAATTTTCTGTCTGAGAGACCTGTCTATTGGTGAGAGTGGGGTGTTGAAGTCTCCCACTATTAATGTGTGGGGTTTGATATATGATTCAAGCTTTAGTGATGTTTCTTTTACCAATGTGGGTGCCTTTGTATTTGGGGAATACATGTTCAGAATTGAGATTCATTGGTATGGGATTATCTATTGCCTGTGTTTTCGTGGGTGCAGCTAACTTACTTGGGTTGGAGTTTTCCTTCTAGTATTTTCTATAGGTTTGGATTTGTAGATACTTATTATTTAAATCTGGTTGTGTCATGGAGTATCTTGTTTTTTCTATCTATGGTAATTAAAAGTTTTGCTCGGTATAGTAAGTATGGACTGGCACCCGTGGTTTCTTAGTGTCTGCTAAATGTCTGTGCTTTCATAGTCTCCATTGAGAAGTCAGGTGTAATTCATATATGTTACTTGGCCTTTTTCCTTTGCAGCACTTAGTATTCTTTTATTTATTTATTTATTTATTTATTTATTTATTTATTTATTTATTTATTTATTTATTTTTTGGTTTTTCGAGACAGGGTTTCTCTGTGGTTTTGGAGCCTGTCCTGGAACTAGCTCTTGTAGACCAGGCTGGTCTCGAACTCACAGAGATCCGCCTGCCTCTGCCTCCTGAGTGCTAGGATTAAAGGATTCTGTATGTTTATTGTTTTGATTAGTATATGGTGAGGGGACTGAGTTTTTCTTTTTCTTTCTTTTGGCCCAGTCTATTTGGTGTTCTATAAGTTTCTTGTATCTTCATAGGCATTTCCTTCTTCAGGTTGGGAAAGGCTTTTTCTATGATTTTGTTAAATATATTTTCTGTGGCTTTGGGCTGGAATTCTTCTCCTTTTTCTATACTTATTTTTCTTAGGTTTGATCTTTTCATGGTGTCCCAGATTTTCTGGATTGTTGTAAGAATTTGTTGGATTTAACGTTTTCTTTGAATCTATTTTTTGTATTGTATCTTTAGTGCCTTAAGAGTCTCTCTTCCATCTCTTGTATTCTGCGGGTTATTCTTGTATCTATAGATCCTATTCGTTTACTCAGATTTTCCATTTCTAGAATTCCCTCTGTGTGTTTTCCTTATTGCCTGTATTTCAATTTTCAAGACTTGAGCTATTTCCTTCACCTGTATGATCATTTTTTTCTTGGCTTTCTTTTTTTTTTTTTTTTAAAGCGATTAATTTAATTCTTCTAAATTTTTGTTTGTCTTTTCCTCTATTTCTTTAAAAGAATTTCTTTTCCTCTTTAAGGGCCTCTATCATCTTCATAAAGTTGTTTTAAGGTCGTTTTCTTCTGCTTCATCTGTGTTGGGATGTTTAGGTCTTGCTGTTGCAGAACCACTAGGTTTTGGTGGTGTCATATTGTTCTTGATATTGTTGAATGTGTTCTTAATCTGCTGGTCTACCCATCTCTTCTATGATGTAGGCAGTGCTTGTATCTCTAGGGGCTGCTGATTTTGAGTGGAATGTTTGACCAGGGAGAGGGTGAAGGTTTCAGTGTGTTTGGGTGCAGAGTGTGTATTGTAGGTTACAGTGTCCATTGGGTAGGGATGGTGGTGGAGCAGCCTCAATTCTTGAATCAATCTATCTATCTATCTATCTATCTATCTATCTATCTATCTATCTATCTATCTATCTATCATCTATCTATCTTTTTTTTTTGTTTTGTTTTTCGAGACAGGGTTTCCCTGTGTAACAGTCCTAGCTGTTCTGGAACCAGCTCTTGTAGACCAGGCTGGCCTCTAGCTCACAGGGAGTCACCTGCCTCTGCCTCTTGAGTGCTGGGATTAAAGGCGTCAGTCACTACCATCTGGCCTATTCTTGAAAATTTTTAATGACAAATTTTAGACAGTAAAGCATTTTAAACTAATGAACCAGTGTTTTATTATTAAATTTCTGTCTAGTGTTCTAAATTAGACCCTAAAGAACTTAAATTGACAAGCTATTAAGTTAAAGGAGTATTTTGAGTTTTTAGAATATACAAATACATAATGTAATTAAGTAACTAACTGAACTGTTTGGAAATCAGGTTGTCATTTAAAACAGAATGTCGCCTTTGGAGTGGTTCAGTTTAACCCAAACTGCTTTTTCTTCTAGGTGTTCACTGCACCCATGGCTTCAACCGGACCGGTTTCCTCATATGTGCCTTTTTGGTGGAGAAAATGGATTGGAGGTATATAGGTTTATTATAGTGGAAGAAGATGTATGTGACAATTCATGATGATTAAGAATCTTATAAACGGTGTACTTATTTTTCCATGTTTTTCTTGTATTTTAAAAGTTGCAGAGGTTGGGTCATCAATGTTTGTGTTTGTATTCAGCTTTGGAAATGTCCTGTTTTTTCCTTTGAAATTTGTCTTTTATAGCTGTTAATTACTAGGAAAACATAGTGCTATGTGAAGGAAGCATTTTAGGATGTCATTACCCTTTAAACAATCTTGTCTTTATCGAACATGTTACTTGTGAAGTACATTTTTAGATTTTGAGAGATTAGAACCTAGTTACCTGAAATTCTTAGAGAATAGGGTATTGCTGACTGAACTTTCTTTTTACTTCTCTAGGTTCATAGTTAGTGTTTCTAAATCCTTTTACCCAGTAGATCCTTTTTTGGAATACAGTCAAGCAAAACACGGATGCAATTGTTTTCTATTTCTTTTACAATCAGTGGTTTTCTACTTTGTATATTTTTCAGCTCTAGTCATTTAGAACACTGTACACAATAACATCAGACTCCTATGCCAGACTCAGCCAATGGTTAGCTCTTTCTCAAAATGTGTATGTATTCTTTGTGACTGGCTCTGGGTCTTTTGGTAAAAAGATTTCTTAAAAATTACTGTGTTTGTTCACTTTTCTGTTCACATTCTTTTGACTGCTCTTTTTCTTTGAGACCTTGACCTTTAATGTTTTATTAAAATTTCTTTTCATTGGCTATCCGTGTTTGTCATGAGCACTCACAGCAATGTGTTTTAAACATTTATAATATATTATTTGTTAGTACCATATATTATAGCAGTCTATGTATTATATATAATGTATGATATATTATAGTGCCCATGTATTATAGGTGGGTGATCTATGTGTACCTTATGTTGCAGTGTACCATGTGTATGTATTTTTGGAATTAGTTTATCATTGAAAACTTTGCTGATAAAGAAAGACTTTGGTTTTTCTGTTTTATATGCCTGTTATACTTTTTGTGGTACTTTGAGTATGAGTTAATTATTGACAACTCCCCATAAATGGACACTAGTGAGAAAATTGCATTGCTTGTTTTCCATAGTATTGAAGCAGCAGTTGCTACATTTGCCCAAGCCAGACCACCAGGAATCTATAAGGGTGATTATTTGAAGGAACTTTTTCGTCGCTATGGTGATATAGAAGAAACACCACCACCACCTGTATTGCCAGATTGGTGTTTTGAGGATGATGATGAAGAAGATGAGGATGAAGATGGGAAAAGGGACTCAGAACCTGGGTCAAGTGCTTCCTTTGGTAAAAGGAGAAAAGAACGGTTAAAACTGGTAATGTTCACAAATACTGTGCTGTTCTTTTAAAATTATTTTAAATTACATTTATTTATTCAGTTATTTTGTGTATTTTGTATGTGCATGCTTGAATGTGTGTGCCTTGGTGTGGGAATGGCACAATATGCATGTGGAGGTCAGAGGGCAACTCGTGGGAGTCAGTTCTCTTTTCATACTATGTATGGGTCCTGGGGGTCAAACTCAGGTTGTCAGGCTAACTGCAGGGGCCCTTACCTGCTGAGCCATAATTTATATTTTTGTTCAAACCTATTGTGGGATATTGGCTAGGTTTCTGTTATTTCGCACTCTCTTTCTTTCTCTCTGTTGAAGAGCATAATAATGGTTTCTGATATTGTGAAATTAATTTTGGTTCTACATGAAACCTTTTAAGAAACTCCTAACATTATGAGCCAGATGGAGTCCTTAAAAAGTTGTGGTGGGGTCTCACTATGAAGCCCAGCCTACTCTCAACTCCTAATCCTCTTGTCAAAGTGCTGAGTAATATTCTTAGTGCTGAGACAGATTATAGGCATGCCCCACCATGGTTCACATTTAATGATTAGCCAGCAATTGTTCCTTAAAATTTTGTCTTACATGATTATTATTCTTTGGGTGGTGAGGCATGCTTGCCGTGGTGGTAATGTGAGGTCAAAGGACAAATTGTGGGACTCATTCCTCCCCAGCCATCTTGCATGTTCTGGGACTGAGTTCAGGCTGTCAGATTTGACAACAAATGCCTTTGCTTGCTGAGCCATCTTGCAGCCCATTTGTTTTTTTTTTTTTTTTTTTTTTTTTTTTTTTCCAGAGATAAGTGGGAGTTAAGAATGTCATCCTGGTTTTGTTTCTTATGTAAACCAAAAAACTCTTAGAGGTTAGATTGAGATTAGCTAAGAACTACTGAGTACATTAAGTATTAACAATAGAATAATAGATTTAGTATATTACCTAGTAGCTAGTGAGAATGTTTCTGCAAAATAGTCATACAGTTAATATAACTGTTGCCTGCCATAGGTGGTGTTTCCTTTGTACTTACACAACTTAGAAAACTTCTACTTCTCTAGTCAACTTTTCTTAATTTTCTAGGCATAAGTCTGATGAAGTATTAGGAGTTGGGTTGTGGCTACAGCTCAGTGGTAGATACTTGCCAAGCATGCATGAAGCATTGGATTCCTTTCTAGCACTGTATAAGTGGTGAATGTTGATTCCAGCTCTCAGGAGTTCAAGGCTACCCTCTGCTACATAGTTGTAGGTGAGGATAGGATACAGGAGACCCTGTGTTTAATTGGATGTGGTAGAGTGGGTTATCTTCCTCTTTCCTGCAGGGACAGGAGATCTGTTAAGAGGACTAGGACTCTTTAACTTGTACACAAGACAGACTTGGTATAGACCAAAGGTAAAGTGACAGAAGTGTGGAGGAAATGAAGTGTTAATGAAGTTAGTAATTAAGGTATATTGTGGTTGGCCAGTAGACACTACAAGTCATGTCTTAGTTGACAGTGGTTCACAGCAAGGAGGAAAAATGCCTTGATTTTTTTAATATAAATTATGTAACTGTTACTTTAGGTTCTTTTCTTTAAATTCTTAGTTGGAAAACTTTTAATTGTGCTTGCACATCTTGAAGACTATAAGATCACCCACAAATGTAAATTGCTTTAAATATTTTCAAAAGTAACTTAATTTTGTGCTAGTGAGATGACTCATTCAATAAGTGCATATACAGGGTATGAGGACTAGAGTTCTGTTCCCAGCACCACCACATAAAAAAGCCGGTCAGATAAATACTCTCACATAAAATTTGAAAAGGGCCTCAGCAGTTAGGTCACTGAGGGATACCCTCTGACTGTGGCATAAGAAAACACAATAAGATTAGGTACAAACCTTCATATCAAGGCTGGATGAGACAACCCAGTAGGAGGAAGAGGATACCAAGAACAGACAAAAGAGTCAGAGACACCCCCACTCCCACTGTTAGTAGTCCAACAAAAAAACAGCAAGCTAACAACATAATATGTACAGGGGACCTTTCACAGAACCATGCAGTCTTTGTGATTTTTCGCTTCAGTCTCTGAGTTCCTATGAACTGTACTTAGTGGATTCAGTGGACTGTGTTCTCCTGGTTTATTTGACACCTCAACCCCCCTCCCCCGCCCCGGCTTCTACAATTCTTCCTCCACTTCTTTCACAGGGTTCCCCAAGCTTCAAGGGGAGGGAACTGATGGAGACCTCTAGTTTGGGTTCTCTTTCTGCCTAATGCTCCTATCAGCTGCTGGTTAGAGTTAGTTACCCCAAGAATTTTATATTATTTGTGGCTATTGTGAAGGGTGTTGTTTCCCTGATTTCTTTCTCAGTTTGTTTGTCGTTTGTGTATAGAAGAGCTACTGAGTTTTGTGACTTAATTTTGTCTCCAGTCACTTTGCTGAAGGTGTGTATCAGCTGTAGGAGTTCCCTGGTAGAATTTTTGGGGTCACTTATGTATACTATTATATCATCTGTGAATAGCAATATTTTTTGACTTCCAACTTTTTGATTTATAACCCCTTGATTTCCTTCAGTTGTCTTACTGCTCTAGCTAGAAGTTAAAATACTCTATTGAATAGATATGGAGTGGGCAGCTTATCTTATTCCTGATTTTAGTGGAATTGCTTTCAGTTTCTCTACATTTAATTTGATGTTTGCCATAGGCTTACTGTAAATTGCTTTTTTTTTTTTTTTAAATGTTTAGGTATGTTCTTATATTCCCGATTCTCTCCAAGCCTTTTATTATGAAGAGCTGTTGGATGTGGTCAAAGATTTTTTTTCAGCATCTAATGAGATGATCATGTGTTTTTTTTTTTCCATTTAGTTTGTTATATAGTGGATTACATTGGCTGATTTTTGTATGTTCAATCATCCCTGAATATCTGGGATGAAGCCTACTTCGTCATGGTGGATAATCTTTTTGGTGTGTTCTTGAATTCGGTTTGCGAGTATTTTATTCAGTATTTTTGCGTCTATGTTCACAAGGGAAATTGCTTTGTAGTTCTCTTTCTTTGTTGAATTTTTGTGTGGTTCTGGTATTAGGTGCTTATGGCCTCATCAAAGGAATTGGGCAATGTTCCTTCTGTTTCTAGTTTTTAGAATTTTGAAGAGTATTCGTGTTAACTCTTTATTAAAGTCTAGTATAATTCTGCACTAAAACAATCTGGCACTGGACTCTTTTGTTTTTGTTTTTGTTTTGTTTTTTTTTTTTTTTTGGTTGGGAGACTTAATGACTTTTAGATTTTCTCTTTTTGTGGATTATAGGTTTTTTTAAAGTATGTCCTTATGATTCTCTGGATTTCGTTGGTGTCTGTTGTTATGTTCCTCTTTTTATTTTCCTAATTGTTAATTTCAGATACTCTCTCCATGGATACACATATGCACACCCATCCACACCTGTAGAAGTCAGAGGACAACATCCTGGGGATCAAACTCATGTCTTTAGGCTTGGTTGAGAGGCTTTTTACATCCTGAGCCATCGTTCATGCCCTGCTTGCTCTTTATGATAAATTTTTATAAGGAAATTGAAATATGTAGACGACTTAGACTATAGCCTTGTACCACCATGTCTGGCTTTTCAAATATACTTTTAAAAAACAACATTAATCTTGAGCATATATGCCTAATACATTTTTGAAAATATTACTTGATTTTTTTGATTTTAATAGTTATAATGAGATACAATTTAAAGGTTTATTTTTCATGCCTTTCCAGTGGAAAAAAATCTTAGTTACACCAAAGAATTGGTAGAGTGCTTACTTAGCATTTGTGCCCTTAGGTACATTTCTTCCCTTTTCTTTTTTAAAGCAGATTTGGGATTTTATTAGAGACATTTTTAATACTGACTTTAAGCATGCTGGTTAAGAAAAGAGAGGCACTCAGGTACAAGGCACAGCTGGGCATATTTAAGATGATAGTTTATAGGGATATTAACACCACTTGGGTATTCTTAGTCATTGTATTACAAGTCTTAAGAGTTTTGCTTTCAGAATTTATTTTCATTAGTTAGTAGTATTTATTAATAGAAATGGCCTATTTTTAAAGTGTTTTTTAAAATAAGGTTGTCAATATATAGCCTAGCTGGCCTCAAACTTATTGTGTGGCCAAACTGCCCTTGAACTTGTAGGCTTCTTTCCTCAACTTCCAGAGTGCTGGAATGATACTCATGCATCACCACAGCTGGCATCAGAAGTGTTTTCATTTTTAAGATTTATTATTTTATGTGTATTAGTGTTTCGTGTGTGTGTGTGTGTGTGTGTGTGTGTGTGTGTGTATCTGGGGCCCATAGGGGTATAAAATGGGTTGGATCACCTGGGACTGGAGTTTTGTTGTTGGGTCAAGGTAATGGTATAACAGGAAAGCATTGGTCATCTTTATCCTTAGGTCATGGGATCCCAACATTATCATTATTTTAAGGCAGTCAAATGGAAGATTTCTTAGATGACGATACATCTCATTCTGAGTTTGAGACAGTGTAAGAGTGCTGTCTGCTAGAAAGACTTAGGACTCCTGAGGACCTGACAGAGTGGATATGTGGATGAACTCTGAATTTTTTCTTCCTCTTCCCAAGTGCATTGCTTGCCAGATCTTGGCCAGAAGGTTGAACTTTGCAACTTGTAGACCAGGTTTTTTTATTCTTTAATGACATTGTCAGCTAGAGTTGTTACATAATTTTACTTGAAAGTGATGCAGAAGCTCTCTGATGTGTCTGAAACTGATTTAGTATACACTTAGACTAATGTTTTAGTTTTAAAAAGTATGAAAACAGAAGCACAGAAAATTTTATAGACTTTCCTGGGGTACACCTTTTCTTTTCTTTGGCTTTGAGATGGGATCTTGCTATATAGCCTATGGAGACCTTAGAATCCTTTTGCCCAAGCCCTGTGTCTGGTGGAGTATAAATGCCACTCGTTACAGCAGGCAGAACCAATCATTTCTATTTAATATGAGTTTTCTTAGGTTTAACTAGCTCATTAATTTGTAAATACATTTATTCTTTATATATATGTGTGCGTGTATATATGTATGTATATATGGTATCATTTTATTTTCTCTTTCCTTTAAAGGGTGCTATTTTCTTGGAAGGTATAACTGTTAAAGGTGTAACTCAAGTAACAACTCAACCAAAGTTAGGAGAGGTACAGCAGAAATGTCATCAGTTCTGTGGCTGGGAAGGGTAAGGCATATTTTCAAGTTTTAAATAAAATTTATTCTTTAATACTTAAAATTAATAAAAGCATTAACTTGACTTTTTTTTGCTTCTTAAAGTTAGTGTGTACATTGAGTGCTTAAGAGGATGTCACGTGTTTTTCAAGGTAATCTGTAACAGTTAAGTTGAATCAGGATTAGTTGATTTACATCATTCTCAAGAATACAACATTATTGTTGTCACCAGAGTTGTTTTTGTTGATCTCTTTGTTTCTGCTGGCTAATGATGAGGAAGACTCCTCGTGTCACCCTCTGCCTCCACTGTGCACCTGTGGGCTGGGTGCTCCCCTCCCCATCATTTATTGTGCATGATCTAAATAGTAAAGCAGCAGTGGTTTAAACTTCAGGAAAACACTTGAATTTTAGCTTAATTACCTTAACAATACTGGATCCCAGTATCTGCCTGTTTCCACACCCCCCACTCTTCCCATTTCTGGGATTATAGCATATGCCTGCCAGGCTTGGCTTTTGATTGGGATCTGGGGATCCCAATGCAGGTGCTCATACTTTCATAGGAATCATTTTAGCCCCTGAGCTCTCTCTCTTCAGTCCTGCATATAATATTTTTAAATTAGCCCAATATTTATATTATAGCAGTGGCCATTTAGTACCCTGTAAAGTTGTATTCTAAAATGTCAAGAGAGAGTGTAGCTTTGGCTGTCCTGGAACTCACTATGTAGACCAGGTTGGCTTTAAACTCACAGAAATCCACATGCCTCTGCCTTCTGAGTGCTGATTTTAAAGTAATATGCAACTATTCCTGGCTGAGATTGATGCTATTCCATTTGAAATTAATCTCGTGATAGGAAGAATATTGTGATCAACCTTTGAGCCATTAGAGATTGGTTTAACACAATGATAACATTATATGGGTTGTAGCTATGACAGAATAATGTTTTTTCTTTAAGGTCTGGGTTCCCTGGAGCACAACCTGTTTCCATGGACAAGCAAAATATTAGACTTTTAGAGCAGAAGCCATATAAAGTAAGCTGGAAAGCAGATGGTACTCGGTAAGTTTGACTACTCAAAATCAATTACACAAATAACTGTCATGCTTGAAGAATATTATATTGTTAGGGAAAGTGTATACTTCTCAGGTTGTGAGTTTCTGATTTGAACAGTGAAATAAATGTGTTTCAGAAATTATATAGCTTTTATCTGTTGGTATTTTAAGTTGTATAAAGTTTTAGTTCATTCTGCTAAATTTTGGCTGCAGAATTCTGTTTGTTTTTGTGAAAAAGTTTTCTATTTTAATTTTTTGAGACAGAATTTTACTTTAACCTGGGCTAGCCTTAAACACCTGGTGAACCTACAGCAATCTTCTTATCCTCCCCAGTGCTGGGATTATAGGTGTGAACCATCATACCTGATTTAATACGGACGTCTTACCTCTGTCTCCTGAGTATTGGGATTATAGGCATGTGGCACCATGAGCGCATTTGGGATCTCTTTTTGTTATCCTTATTTCATAATTTAGTTGCCAGATATTCTAGTATCGTTTGTTTGAGACAGGGTTTCTCTGTAGCTTTGTTGCCTGTCCTGGAACTAGCTCTTGTAGACCAGGCTGATCTCGAACTCACAGAGATCCACCTGCCTCTGCCTCCTGAGTGCTGGGATTAAAGGTGTGCACCACCACTGGCCGGCTATTCTAGTATCTTTATGTAAATGTATTTCAGGAAAACTTAATTTTGGGGTCAGGGATGTAGTTGTTACAGTGCCTGACTAGCAGGGGTAGGCCCTGAGTTTAGTCCCTGACACTGAGTAAAACTGGGCAGTAGTGGCTTAAGCTTGTATTCCCAACATTTGTGAGATGGTGGCTAGAGGATTAAAAGTTCAAGATCATCCTCAACTACATAACAATTTCAAGGTCAGTGCAAGGTACAGGAGACCCTGACACAAACTCACAAACTAACTAACTTACTTTATTGCAAAGCAGTAGGCACTATTTTCTTTGGAGTCATAGTTTGCCAACCCATGACTGAATATGTTCTTCTTAAAAGACTTTTTCCCCCTAAGATAAGAGCTCTATAGTTTTGACTGGTCTGGAACTTAACTATGTAGACCAGTATATTTCTGTGCACCACTTTTGTATAAGAGCTGACAGAAGTCTGACTCATTAGATATGGAATTATAGGCAGTTGTGATTCTTTATGTGGGTGCTGGGAATTGAACCTGGGTCCTCTGCAAGAGCACTGAGTGCTTTTAACCACTAAGCTGTCTCTCCAGCCATGGTAAACATCTTTTAAAAACATTAAAAAAAAAAGATTTTGTGTGTGTGTGTGTGTGTGTGTGTATGTGTGGTAGATGCTCATGGAGGCCAGAAGATGGTGCCAGAACCTTTGGAGCTAGAGTTACAAGTAGTTATAAGTGCTGGGGATCTAATCAAGTTCTTTGGAAGAAGAACAAGTGCTTTTAACTGCTGAGCCATCTCTCTAGCCTCTTAAAAACAATTCTATGGTTGAAAATTATTTTATTGTTGTTGTTGTTGTTATTATTATTATTATTATTATTATTATTATTATTATGAGAGAGTCAAGGTCTCACCACTGCCAAGCCAGCCTGGAGCTTATTGCATAGCAGAAGTTGAACTTGAACTACTAATTCTCTTGCCTCCACTTCCCAAGTACTGGGATTATAGGCCATGCTCAGCTTTGTGGTTGAAGTTGAATAGTGAAAACAATTTTTTATTCCTATTGGAAATAGTTTTAGATTAGTGGGATGGATTACATTCCTTTTTTTTAGTGGCAGGAAGAAAACTCACTTTAATATTTCAAAGATACAGGGATTTATAAAGGCTTTTGAAAGTCAAAGATACTAAGGGTCCCAGTGAGATCATGAACTGTTATTACTGCTCTTCTAGCATATGGATTGTTTGTTTGCTGAAGGAGGGCTTTTACTAGAAGTGTGTTCTTTGGGGCAGTAAGGCAGTGGCCACTCAGACCTTCCACTGAGGAACTGGAACCCACACTGCTGCAAAGTCAAGGTCAACTTGTGGTAAATAACCACTTCCACCCTCCCCCAGCAAAACTCAGACTACAAAGCCATGAGACAAAAACTTTCTAGGAAGCTTTTGGACTATAGGCTTCTGACTGAACTTGATACAGCTGATTGTGTTGGAGGACCCTCTTTTTCTATCACTTTGATTACATGCATGCCTTATGAATTTTGGTTTAAAAATACATTTCTTTTTTTTGTACAAATGTCTTGTCATTTTTCAGTTGCTGTTGGGTCTGGGGTCTGCATCTTATTGGGTTGTGTAAAATGGCAGCTCCATCTGTGGAGATTATTTTTGCCCCTGTGCATGCTTCATGGCCCTTATATTTTGTAACCCAGAAGGTTATTGAAATGGTATACTTGTTTATATTTCCCTTTTTCCTTAATTGTTTTTATTACTTTGTCAAAGTTATCCAATACTTAGCATTTTAAAACATCAAAACTTATTATCTCACTGTTTCTAAGAACAGTTTAGTTGGGTGGTTCTGACTCAGTGTTTTTCATGACATTGAAGTTACCCAAAGTTTCTGTGTATCAAACCTTCTTCCAGAAATTATTTATATGATTGATGGTAGACCTCATTTTCTTATTGGCTATTGAGTAAACCAGATGTACACTTGTACTGTTATAAAACCAAAACTTTCAGGTCAGACACTGAGGCCTGAGGTCCTTGTTACTCAGGAAGCAGGATTTCTTGAACTCATGAGCTGAAGACAAGCCTAGGCAAAACAGCAAGGCTCTATATTAATCTCCCTATCTTGCCCCCTGACAACAGCAGACTTAAAAATAAAAATTTCTAAACATTATAAATTTGGAAATACACATAAATTGTTTAAGTACAGTAGTTTCACATAGTGGAATAAGGATCCAAAATGATTCTGCTGGCTCTTAAGACCATCAAAATGATAGATAGCAAAGGGTTTTTTTTTTTCTTTTTTCTTTTTTTTAAAGTAGTATCTGGTAGTTTAAAAAAATCAACAACATTGGAAAAGCATGTTCATAGATAGTCTAATGCTTCCATCAAAGATGGTAGGAGGTGAGCACTGTTAGGCTGTGGAAGGAGTCCACTTCCTTCTTGTAAAGGTTGTCCTGTCCTGACTGCTTGGGTGGAAAGTGGCCAACACATGATGAGGATACTCAGGGTCTGTGCAGTCCAGCTGCAACCTAGAGTTTTAGTATGAAGGTCATGTCAGATCTAACAGATGCAGAAGGGAGTCTTTCAGCTTCACTTTGCAATTTACAAACAGAAATTCAACCAGGCACGCTATTCCATGCTATTCCAGAGTTAAAAACTTGGAAGCAAAAACTCCAGTGTTAGAGCATGCCTCTAATCCTGTGCTTGGACGGCAAAGGCAGGAGGATAAGGGTTCAAGGTAAAATCTTGGCCATATATCAAATTAAAGGCAAACCTGGGCTTCTTGAGAACTCTGTTGTTTTTGTTACAGAGAATGTTTTCTGTATACAGAGGTATGTCTGTTTGCCTTTGACTCTCAAGTGCTGATATTCTTAAATCTTTTATTTTAATAATTTATTAAGGAGTTTTATTGCTGAAAACTTTCTGATTTAGGATTGGTATTTTATGATCTCAACCAGATGGCAGTAGAGGACCAGTTTTAATTTGTTGTCTTTGTAAAACAGTATAATCTTAATGGTAGTTATATATTATACATCACAGAACAGTATCTATCTTGTGGTTAAGAATTTAGCAAAGATCAGGTGGGTTCTGTACACATGGAAAGTCTAGCTCTTTCGACAATACTGATATATTCTCTTGTGCATTGCAATTGTCTTTGTTAAAAAAAATTGCCCCATGGCTAGGTATAGTTCTGCACACTTCCTAGACTAAGGCAGGTGGGAACGAAATCCAGGTCTGCTTGAGCTACAGCAGGATTTAGACCAGAGGGACTAACACAGTGAGAGTGGGTCTGATATTTTTTGAGTCATATTAAAGTTCTTAGGAATTCTTAGCCTAAGGAAATAGAGCTTCTTCAGTGAACTATTATGGGAAGGAGATAAGTAATGTGAGGATTCTCTTTTCATCTCATGTTTATTTTCTCTTACTGTGTTGGGAGTGAAAAAATTTAACAGAAAAACAGGTGTTGGCAGGTAGCTTTTCTGTTTTAGATATGAAGGTCAGCATCTGTAAGGTCAAGATATTGGCATTGGTTTAGGAAGAACAGTAATTCTGAGAACAAGCCCTTCTTTATAATAAAGCTTGGGAAGCTCTTTAACCCTGCATTTTAAAACTGAGCTTCCCTCCCTCCCTCCCTTTATTTATTTATTTATTTATTTATTTATTTTATTTTTTTTATTTTATTGAGAATAAGAAAAAAAAGTTTCCGCCTCCTCCCAGCCTCCCATTTCCCTCCCCCTCCCCCACTCTTC